ATTTAATGGAATTACATATACATCAAAACATAAAAATATGTATTCCCCTTTTCAGGCAGCATTTCTTTTTAAGAATACGGTAACAACTTGTTTTTCTTACCAATGTTAATAATCTTGATTCTTTTTGCTGTTTGCTACAGTAAATTTGACATGCTTATAAACATATTTATAGAATCTGAGTTTATGTTTCTTTATTTTACTAATTATTTAAAATCTTTTTTTAATACTGTTGGATGTTTCAAATAAGAATAAATAATGTCAAAATCCTTGTTTAATTATTTTGGCAAATATAGCCTATTTCAAATGAAATTGATTGAATTTTCCATTTCCATTTATGTTGTAGACTCTTGATATAATTTTAAATATTCCTTTGGTAATTCCGATAAATTAAAAGCACACTTAATATGAATTCAATGTCAATGATATTAAAAAATATCTTGGCGATTGACAAAAGATTCAAATTGCACATCTACGTTTTAACAATATTTATCCAATATTGTAAATTTTCAAATATAATATAAAGATGGCGACATTTTGACTTTATTCAAGGGACATAACTACGGATAAACTGATAATAGCGAAAATAGTTACTTCCCTTAGATTACATATCGCTGATATTATATCTTATATTTGTCTATTTTCATTTTTATTACTTTTTTGGGAGCTTCTAAAACACGCACTTTATATAATGCTTATATACATACATTATATATGTTCCAAAGGCTGCCATACCGGGGAGTTACGGTGTAGACAAGCGTCCACTGTGTATAGAATGCTTCCTTGGCATGAGTTTCAAATAGCCTTTGGCAAACGAAATCCAGCTCCAAACTGGAGAATGGGCAATGGCACTGCTGCTTTAGACACACAGTCCATGTAGGGGAAGGAAAACCCTGATTTTAAACTTCTACTGCCTTGCGGCAACTCCTGCAACCAAGCCAGCCCCTAATGTAATGCCTTGTATTTACCATTGCCTAAACCTGTACCCTGTAGAGTTCACTCCAGGTTCACCACTAATGGACTCAATTTTAACCAAAGAGGGCATTACCATTATCTTGCAAGACAAATGGATGCCTACTACTGTTCTTGTCTATGAAGAATTTTTTTTTTTTTAAATATTGTCTCCATATTTCACATATTGAATAAATTGTGAAATCTGTAGAAAACATTAAACAAACACTTATCTTTTATTTACATTATTCGGACTAGTGTCCTCATCTTTGTCACTACATTTATTACAACGTTTTGGCTGTTGTATGCTCCGGCCTTCTTCAAGTGGTTGGAATGTTAAACTGAACCCTTTATTTTGCTCACTGGGGTAGACTGTTCTAGTTCCACTAGCCATGTTTAATGGATGTCAGTTATCAGTTATCTCCTGTTAATTCCCCTCTCCAAGTTCTCCACTGCCTTAACCGGGTATTGAACTCACACTCTTTGGGTCCTCTCACTTGATCTAACTAACGCTTTTATCCACGTTATTAGTTAGATCCAAGATCGAAGAAATTGTGGAGAGCTATATTGCCCACGTTCTAAAGAGTGCAAGTCATATGGGAACACAAGCACTTTCATTACAATATTTAGTGCCATTGTTGTCAGTCCTTTATACAATGCCACCTAGAGGGCATTAAATCTCCTGGCAGATAAAGTGGGATAATCCCACAATGTCACCTGCCCACCTGAATTTGTGTTTGGTGCTAAGACGGGAAATTAATTTGACACCGCATATAAGCCACTGTTATGTCCTAGTACTCTCCAGACTCTAGGGATGACTGATATTTTTATTGTTTTTTCATTGACATTAGTGACAAAAGTTGTGATGACAACTTAGAAAATAACCACCAACTTAATTCCAAGGCTTACAAAAAAATTCGGTGGTTTTCGTATATCATTTGGTCTCTAGAGGCACACACACACACACACACACACACACATACATACAAATGTACAGATAGACACACACACACGCATATGTCCTGTCTAAATTGCATATTAGACCCGGATATATATAAATTAAGATGACACAATTTGTGACTTCTTTTTATTTTTCTTACCGTTGTTGACATGAAAGCAAAATTGTTTCATTATTAAAATTTCCGTTCAAGCAAATCTAACCTTGTTGAAATTCAAATTAAATTTGAACATCAAATTATCTATTGACCCTTGACTCGCAATAATGTTGCTTTCATTCATGACCACCAACAATTCAACTTCTAATTACATGAGTTTTACGATAATAATTAGTTGACTTCTTTATCAGAATGCAAACGTGCTGCAATATGATTCATAATTTTGGGTGCTTTTATTTTTTTCTCCACTTACAGTGAATATCTATAATGTCTACTGAAGAAATATTACTATCTGATTGTTGTCTAATTTGTCAGTCAATCATAAGAGACTTGATTGTACATGGATACATAACCTTTCATGAATTTACTCATTCACTAATGAGACACCATTGAGACAATGTATGTATTAGGTGACTCTTACATCCAATATGGCTAAACTAGCAGATACTCATGTAGAGTTGGAGGATGGTCTGATTGAGCATTACAACTGGGTAGTGAGTTTGATTCTCACTGAGTGCCCCATACAAAACCTAATCAAACTTGTATTTGTCTGATACAGGGCCATGTGTACTATCCCCAAACACTCTAAGTGTGGGCGCAAGTCAGATTGAATTATGGGCAGTGTTTTAGAATATCCTTTATATTTTACGAGATCTGCTTTTTTTTCTACCTACATTTATGTTACAAATTAAACTCAGCACAAATTAAAGGAATGATAAATTTTCAGATTTTGACATCAATTTGGAGTATGTTTTTTTTTTTTTTTTGAAGTCTGTGAATTTGTTTTGCTCATGCTAAGTCTCAAAAAAAACTATATAAGCTTCACTATCTTTTTATCCATAACGCTGAATGTGTTAAAATTCTTCAACTTTTTAATAAGAAAAAATTTCAAGTTGATGTTAAAACTTGCTGCAAAACATTGTCAATTTATTTAAGATGGAATGATCTATGGACAGGTCTCTAATTTGTATTTAGATACACTTGAATTGTTCACGTATATTGAATATGATCCGCCATTGTACATAATTAGGTTAAAATAAAATTTGCATTTTATATGAAAAAACCTTAAACAAAAACCAAGACTGTAGTAGAGAATAAGAATATAAATATTATCATAGATTCAGGGATATGTATCACAGTACAAGACTCTTGCACCAACCCTCATTGTAAAATGCAAAAAAAAAAATTGATAGAGAACTAAACCAAATAGTTTGGCAAAGTCTTGTTCAACAATAAACATGCATTAGTAATATGCATTATAATTTGAAATAAATATATGAATTTAATGAGTTACCTGTAGTAGAATGGGAGGCACAATATTATAGATTTGGGAAAAAGGGTTAAACATTGTTGATTTATTTAATAATGGAATGATCTATAATGACAGGTCTCTAATTTGTATTTAGATAGATTGTATTTATTTTCAATTTTTCTACTTGAATTTTTCACCTATATTGAATATGATCCATTATTGTACATAATTAGGTTACAATAAAATTTGCATTTTATATGGATAAGATCTTATGAAAATTGAGACATAGTAGAGTGATGTGGGATTATAGCTTTCAGGGTGATGTATCATAGATTCAAGAGTATCCCATAAGATACTTGCACCAGTCCTGCCCTGGGAGATATCTAAAACAAACCCCCTTGAAAATGGTGAAAGAAGTGGAGAAAAGCACTTGGGACAAGGGACAGTATGGACAAATTTTGCACTCCATTACTCACATCAAATGGAAAAATGTTAGAATGCTAAAAAAAAAAAAACTTTGTCATATTCAACAAATGTTTAAAAACAAAGGTTTGCCCAATATATATATATATATATATATATATATATATATATATATATATAGATAACTAGACTCGTTTTAAAAACCCTCGAATTTTTGATTTGCTAATCAAATCAATCTCGAGGGAAAAAAGGTTTTAAAAAAAGAAAGAGCTACAAACATGGACTTCTGCCGACAAAAAAATTGCACAGATGCAGGTCTGAAGCCCAAAGAAAAAACCCCGATACGAGTAACAGTAGTGTCTGGCTCACTAGGTGTATCTATATATATATATATATTGCTTGACATTGCTATGTTGAGTTCTACAAAGTAACATTTTTTTTTCATATCTGTCATAGACTTGATGGGAGAACTTTGACCAATTTATTTCACTATGTGTTTGCTTGTATATAATGCAGTTGTCTGAATATAAGGTGCAGTTAAAAAGAAAAAGGGTTTTCTAATATTTTACTTCATCCAGTAAACTGGTATTAAGGATAGGAAGCTGAAACTCTTTTTAAAAATCCTTGGAAATAAAAATTTTCAATCTGCTGATAGAAACTTGACTTCTCTGCTCAAATTCAAATACTTGCTAAAAATGTTGAATTTTTACAACTGTTATTTTCTGATATTTAAAAACGTTTCGTGTTGTCTTTAGAAACAATTGTTTTTATAATTGGAGAAAAGAAAAACTTTTTTTTTCTTTGTTTTTTTTGTCATGATCAACAAGTTTGAGTTTGAGAGAAGCACTTTAAAAATGGAGGGGGAAGTTACTGGAAAGAAGAAAAGTATCATTAATGAATTCACAATAAAAAAGAATTGTTTTATGTTTACGTAAATTGGCTGTGATTTGGTTTTAAGTTTCCTCTAAAGAAATGTTCCATGTTGTGAAATGAGTTTTTGTTTGTTTTTTGTTGATTTTTTTTTTTTTTTATCGATTTTTATTTTATTTCTTTTTTTTTTTTTTTTAAATGTTTCTTGCATTTTAAACTTTTTTGGGGTGTGGAGGAAACATTTTTCTCAGTCAAATTGACAAAAATAAACTTCCTCTTTTTTCCTGTTTCTTTTTCTTTTTTATCTCATTTTTTTTCTTTCTCATTTTTCTTTTTTTTTTTTTTCTCTAATTTTTTTTCTACATTTTGCTCTCTTTCCATCTTTCTTTCTGATGATTTCTTCTTTTTTCTCTGAATTTTTCCTCCCTCTTTCTTTCTCTCTTTTTTACTATGTCTTTCTTTCAGACTAATTTTCTCTCTTTTCTCTTATGGAAAATACTTTGATTTTTTTCTTGTTTTGTTATTGTCCTTGTTTTTTTAAATGGGATCAAGTAATGGTGGGATTGTATTTTTCTGTGGAATTGGTATCAATTTCTGATAAAACAGAAAAAAACAAATATAAAATTTATTTCTCTTTCTGTTTTTTGTAAGTTTCATCATTCATCTTTCTTTCTTTCTGTTTCTTTGCTGCTTTTTATTCTCTCTCTTTTTCACTTTCTCTTCTTCCACCTCCCACTTTTTTCTGTTTTTTCTTTCTCTCTCTTTACCTTTCTCCTCTTCCTCTTCTTCCACCTCTCACTTTTTCTGCTTTTTTTCTTTCTCCCTCTTTACCTTTCTCCCTCTTTACCTTTCTCCTCTTTCTCTTCTTCCACCTCCCACTTTTTCTGTTTTTTCTTTCTCCCTCTTTCCCCTTCTCCTCTTTCTCTTCTTCCACCTCCCACTTTTTCTGTTTTTTCTTTCTCCCTCTTTACCTTTCTCCTCTTCTTCTTTCTCCCTCTTTACCTTTCTCCTCTTCTTCTTTCTCCTCTTTACCTTTCTCCTCTTCTTCTTTCTCCCTCTTTACCTTTCTCCTCTTCTTCTTTCTCCCTCTTTACCTTTCTCCTCTTCTTCTTTCTCCCTCTTTACCTTTCTCCTCTTCTTCTTTCTCCCTCTTTACCTTTCTCCTCTTCTTCTTTCTCCTCTTCTTCTTTCTCCTCTTCTTCTTTCTCCTCTTCTTCTTTCTCCTCTTCTTAAACTTTTTCCTCTTCTTCTTTCTCCTCTTCTTCTTTCTCCTCTTTTTTCTCCTCTTTACCTTTCTTTTCTTTACCTTTTTCTCCTCTTTGTCTCTTTTCCACCTCTCACTTTTTCTGCTTTTTTTCTTTTCCCTCTTTATCCTTTCTCCTCTTTCTCTTCTTAGAACAAATCCCTTTTTTGTTTTTTCTTTCTCCCTCTTTACCTTTCTCCTCTTCTTCTTTCTCCCTCTTTTTCCTTTCTCCTCTTCTTCTTTCTCCCTCTTTTTTTCTCCTCTTTTTCTTTCTCCTCTTTTCCTTTCTCCTCTTTTTTAAATATCCTCTTCTTCTTTCTCCTCTTCTTCTTTCTCCTCTTCTTCTTTCTCCTCTTCTTCTTTCTCCTCTTCTTCTTTCTCCTCTTCTTCTTTCTCCTCTTCTTCTTTCTCCTCTTCTTCTTTCTCCTCTTCTTCTTTCTCCTCTTCTTCTTTCTCCTCTTCTTCTTTCTCCTCTTCTTCTTCTTTCTCCTCTTCTTCTTCTTTCTCCTCTTCCTTTTTTTCTCCTCTTCTTCTTTTCCTCTTTAAATTTCTCCTTTTCCCTTTTCTTCCACCTCCCATTTTTTGCTGATTTTTTTTTCTCCCCTTTTTACCTTTCTCCTCTTCCTCTTCTTCCACCTCCCACTTTTTCTGATTTTTCTTTCTCCCTCTTTACCTTTCTCCTCTTCCTCTTCTTCCACCTCCCACTTTTTCTGATTTTTCTTTCTCCCTCTTTACCTTTCTCCTCTTCCTCTTCTTCCACCTCCCACTTTTTCTGATTTTTCTTTCTCCCGTTTTATCTTCCTCCTCTTCTTCTTCTTCCACCTCCCACTTTTTCTGTTTTTTTTTTTCCCTCTTTACCTTCCTCCTCTTCCTCCTCCCACTTTTTGTTTTTTCTTTCTCCCTCTTTACCTTCCTCCTCTTCCTCTTCTTCCCTCTTTACCTTTCTCCTCTTCTTCCACCTCCCACTTTTTTGTGTTTTTCTTTCTCCCTCTTTACCTTTCTCCTCTTTCTCTTCTTCCACCTCCCACTTTTTCTGTTTTTTCTTTCTCCTCTTTTTGTAATCTTCCTCTTCTTCCATAATTACTCTTTTCTGTTTTTTTTTTCCTCTTTACCTTCCTCCTCTTCCTCCTCCCACTTTTTCTGTTTTTTCTTTCTCCCTCTTCACCTTCCTCCTCTTCCTCTTCTTCCAACTCCCACTTTTTCTGTTTTTTTTTTTTTATCCATCTTTACCTTCCTCCTCTTCCTCCTCCCACTTTTTCTGTTTTTTTTTCTCCTCTTTACCTTCCTCCTCTTTCTTCTTCTTTGACCTCCCTTTCTTTTTTACCTCCTTTTGAAAATTTTTTTTTTTTTTTAACTTTTACCTTTCTCCTCTTTCTCTTCTTCCACCTCCCACTTTTTCTGCTTTTTTTTCTCTACCTGTAGGTTTATTTAAGAACATGTATTTTCATGTCCGACAACACATACTGATGATTATTTAATGAATATTCAGCTATTCGCAGACCTGGGGGCATTGACACACCAAGGAAAAATGACCAAATTGTCCCATTCAAATATTCACTGTTGCCTGTTGTCCTCCACAGCTAAAACCAGCCAGGCTACATCCACATGGTTGAATCCTCCTCATTCTCTCCATATTCTATTTTAAAGAAGAGCCACTACTTTGTGGAATGGACTCCCATGTGAATGCTTCTCTGAATAATAACCTGTTCAAGTCCAGGTTCAGTTTTTATCTATCCTCCATATAGTAACTCTCTACCTTGAGTAGCTTTTAAGCCCTTTTATTGGGTGAAAATTAGTGGAAAAAATCTCCAACCTTGACTGGTTCTATCTATCTGTAGTGGCCACTCTGGATTTCAAAGAATCACCTAAAAATTGAAGGTTGCATAGGTTTTTCAAAACTAATTTTTATTAGCCCACTTCAGGTCTATGACATTCTCAGCATCATTCTGTAGAACCAGATCTCTGTTGCCTCAAGTTTTCTCTTTGTGAAGAAATTATTCAGCATTCAGTGCCACATAGAAGGACTGATGTTACATAGCAGTTCTGCACTTTTATTTTGTTAATTTCTAACAAAAATTTTCTCATTCCTAATATTTTGCTTATCTATTAAAAAACATTTTTCCCTCATTCAATATGACTTCAGATTTGTTACATTTTGCATCATCTGTTATTTTTGTCCTTGCTACATGTTAACATCTCCAATTTGCACTGTGCGTTGTTCTTCATGTTTGTTTTGTTTTTATGCTTTATAGTCCTTTCTTCTTTCTTTCTTTTACTATCTTGTGTAGGAGTTGCTTTAGGTGTTTTTTTTTCCTGTTTATGCAATGAACATGGTGTCATCTATATATTTGCTAATAATAAAACCCTGGTGTGACTTCTCCAATCTATTCAGAAAGGCAATCCTAAGAGAACACTCTTGACAATATTCCAAAATCCAACACTTTCACCCATCCGTGTGCACACTACCCTCCTGTTCCATGATCCCAGCTGCATTGGAAGTAGAAAAGAGTGAAGGATTCAAATTTTCTGCTTTCTTTCTACCCATTTTATTGATTCTGGATTGAAATATTCATTTTTAAAAATTTTTTTTTTATTATTAGAGAGCCAAGAGGGATGAACTTTAATCATTCCACTCCAAGCAAAGCAATAATGCCAATAAGACACTGAATGCATAAGAAATTTTCACCCCAAGCAAGTCAATAAAGAGGTTACTTCGATTGAAAGAGAATAAGAAAACTTTAGTGAGGAGAAAGGGCAATAAAAGAACAGGTTTCAGGAAGACTGAAGATGGTGATAATGCCACTAAAACACAAGGGGTTACTGAATGCATAAGAAATTGAAACAAAAAAGAGAGGAAATAGAATGGGATTTCAAAATGACAGATGACGATTGACATTCCATTTAAGTTGTTGAAGATCTTAATTGACATGAATGTGAAAACTGAGAAGAGAGTTCCATGATGTGACCTAACAGCCAATCTAGTACTATGACACAAAATGGGAAGGGAAGCTACATTGTGGTTGTGGGGAAACTTGCATAACTTACCTAGCAAGCTTGAGTAAATGGGCATTGAAACAAGGTTCAAAAGAGATGGCAAAAAGACAATATTTCTTAAGAGCTATAAAGGACAGGTAATTGTGGACATTGATGTCAACAAGCGACGACAGTATGTTTCAAACACAATCTTCTGGCCATGTGTGTTATATTTATGTAAACAATAACAATGAGTAAAAAATTAACAAACAACATCATCAATTAGCTTCAAGTAACTGCATTTGGATCCACAATTATTTCTACTCAATAGCCTCTAGAATAAATTGAAACATAACCATTACCGCCTATTCTATAACCTTTAGGACAGCACAATAGATGTTACTACCCATAATGCACCATTGACCAGCATATATAGTCGAGCAAAAACACACTACACATGGCCTGAAACAGATTATTATTATGTCCATTTTTATATACTCACATGCTCTTTCTCTGATATTTAGCACTTTCACTCATAAATATAGCATACCATAAAACTGTATTTTTATTATATATATATATATATATATATATATATATATATAATATAACAGTATATGTTTTTTTATATCAAGAACTATATTGGAAGAAAAATCTGACAATGGAAAAAGTTTTAATTTGTTATAAATTTATAGTTTTCATATATAAAAAAACGTTTTTTTTTTTGTGTGGCGTTTCGTGCTTTAGGACTTTGTTTTTGTTATGTTGAAATTACATATATATATATGATATATTTAAATTTTCTGTTTTTCTTTTTTGAATTTGTAGGTCTGATGAATTGGATATATGATTACACCAATGGAATAAATTATAACCATGGAATATTAATGTTTGAGCCTTATTGTTTTCGTGTGTTTGTGTGTATGTAGCGTTGGAATCATATTTTAAATAAATAATTATATAAAATAGGAAAATAACTAGAAAATAGTAAAAGAATCCAAAATTCTTTAGTTTATTTTTTTATTATTATTTTTAAAAAATAGTGCTCGATACAAAAGTAGAGCATAAATATAATTATTTATTTAAAATATGATTCCAACACGCTACATAAGAGTTCTCATGTTTCAAAACAAGAGCCGAAAACTTCAATATAATTATTTGAATTAAATTGAATTAAAGTAAGCTCTGTTCCATCTTCAAGCGATTTTTTTTTTTTAATAACTTTACGTGTTTTAATAGTATGCTATAAGTAAACAAAGATAGTCTATCTTAACCAGGGGAGGGTTTAACAGGAAACCGTCATTTTGTTATCAAAAACAGACTTAAAAAGAAACACAAGGTTATATTTTCACAACCACGTTCGCTAAATTCACCATCTTTAATGCAAATATATCAATAACAAACGTTTTCTATCAGTTCTGATCTTCACCTTCAGCTGATGCCGAAGGAATCCAACCAGAGCCTGTTGAGAAAAGCGTTCGTATCGCCCAAAACAGGTGCACCTGAGGACAATGGTAGAAGGCATGCAAAGCCTCTAAACAAAGGTTATACCGATAACAGTCGAGCAAATCAACCCAGTCCCATCTGAAGGCTACGTCATTGAGAGATAGCGCATTACGAATCAATCGCCAGGTAAGCGAAAACTCAGGGTTGCTGAAATAATTTGCGGCTGCCACCCAAGACACGAAAGAACACAACTATGGTCCATATAGCCTTTCCTGTGGAAACGTGGGGCAATCTTTTTTTACTATATCATCCTATCTCCTAGAAATACTTCTGGGAACGGTCCCACAGATACACAACTCAGCGATTCTGAAGAGAATAAAAAAATATTAGTAAATTTGAGATCAACCCCGTTAGGAGACACTGATCACTGTATGATACTGAATCTGTTATGCGACGGACACAAATGGGGAGACGACTCCCCAACTGTTTAGTGTCCAAAATACTAATGTGGTACATCCTGCTAGCTCCCCTGATGACAGTTCATCTGAAGATGAAGTTTGTTTATCCACTCCTCGGCGAAGTACCCGGCAAAAACGACCTGCTCGCGACTGTATGTTTTGTGATCATGATCTCAATATTTTGGTGAACAGCCCCTTAGAAATTTAAGCCGGGTGGCTTTTCATCTGCTGTATAGGAAAATAAGGGTCTTAAATTAACGTGCGGCACGTGACATCAGCAAAATGCTTCGTAGGTTGGCATTACTCTCCGTCCAGCCATTCTAGCAGTATGTGCAGGATGAGGGTTTTTGTACAGTTTGAATGCTTCCACCAATAGCAAGTCGTTTGCTGATTGGTCGAACTGGAGGACATCAATTTGCCTGTAAATTGAGAATAACAGCGAAGAACGCTGATTGGCTGGGGAACCGCAGTATTGGCCTGATAATATAGTGCTGGAGTAATGAAAAACATTTAACGTTGGCATACGTAGTGACGTGTCTAGAAATCTATCGGTGAATATATACCAGCGATATTGTGGATTTGTACAAGTGACTGCTGGGAGAGCATTAGACTTATTTAATCTATAATACTCTATCCGGGTAGCCGGCTATCTGGGTACACGGCCACTTAAGTACCCACGTCCACATCTCCCGTCCAGGGTGATCGACCCATTAATCTATCGACGAGACCAAACTCGCCAATCAGACCGACCAGGCTTCGATCACCCGACCTCTCGAGAGCTTCCCTCCTCCTGTCTAAGATTAAGGGCGACGAATCCACTAGGAATAGCCCAAACTGAATCAAAATAAAATTCATTTCCCGTCTTGTCGTTGGGCGCGTAAATTTCGATCTTCATATTATAAACGAACTACTATTCACGGCAATGTCGGCCACGACCAGGCGCCACGCCCCGCCCCCGCATCGACATGGTCTACCCTTCCATCCAGGGTACGTTTAACCAACAAGGAAAAACCTCTGGCTAGCTGTTCCCTGTATGCTGAATAGACAACAGAGTTGCTAGACAGGACTCAAGCATCAATGTCGCAAACAAAGTGTTTCCTGAATCGCAGCTGGACAGATCATGAAGCAGATGAGAAGCCTTACTCCAATCGATGAAGTTCCTCGCATTCAAGCTAGCTATCTTGATAAATATTTTTCAAGTTTATTCCCTTAGTCACAGACTGGGCGGAAATCTGCGGGCAAAAGGACCTCGACGAATTATCCTTGACTCCCTGTGCCCAGATCTGATATCGTACGTCCATCTGGGACGATGCCGCTGACGTCCGTGGGATGCGTTAATTTTGGAGCCCTATATAACGAGGGATGGCGTCTATCTCTGCGCAGAATCTTGACAATTTTTTATAAATCTGGGGTTTCCACTTCAACCATCCTGATTCCCGAAAAAGCGCCCTTTGTCTCCGAAA